CGTGAACAATTATTTTGCAGAGAAAAACGCCGAGTACTATTTCGACGGGTTACAGAGATGGGAGCATCGCTGGGAGAAGTGTGTAGATTTACAAGGAGACTATGTTGAAAAATAAAAAACAATTTTCAGAAAAAATGACTTGTATCTTTGTTAGGTCGGAAACTTTTCAGACCACCCTCGTATCAAACATCCTTGTCTCAGTGCGATTAAGGAAAAGTGCTGAAGTAGACAACAAACACCAAATGTCGATAACGATAGAAGCGATCGTCACTAACACGATATCTTTTTCATATTTCTTGTATATATACTCTCTTAAAGTGAATCAGTGAATAGTCACTAATATCAGTTATAAATATAGCACTGAGCAGTTTCAGTACTTATAGCTGCAAATCAGTGTATATTTACTGCTTTCAATGATGTTTCACTGATTCACTTTAAGAGAATAGATCTCATATAAATAGCCTAGATTTTGTTAATGCTGGCAATAGCAATTAGCCCGTTATTGCCAACGTGGAGTCATTTTGACTCCTCTAATTTTCATTTGTAACCTGCGCTTCTGACCACGCCTCACGCAAATCTACGCGATCTGCAGGAACGGACGCGATTTCGTCTCGTCCTTCCTCGGGCTTCCTCCTCGTGAGAGAAATCGCGCGAACGACACACGCTCGTCGCGCGCTCAACTGTGTCTCAGAGAGGTTGGCGATTTACGTACCGATCGATTAGTATGTCGCAGACGTATGTGCTCCCGGTCGACTCGCGCTTGTAATTGATCCGGGCACGGCGCGCCACTGCCATATCGGGTCCTGAAATCGGCCCGGGACTGGGAAAACTGGCGACGTTCTTCAAGCGCCGCGGATGACTTCGTCTTTCGCGGGACGGCGATTGCATCGCAGAAGCCAGCTAAGCTGGCGCGTTGCTCACTCGGTCAGTCAGTACGAACGAGAGTCGGACAATCCCGAAGGGGGACAACGGGATTCGCGGGGTTACGTAATATCGTCGTGAGTGCGTGCGTGTGAGCGCGCGCGCTCGGCTCTTCAAGTTTTTGCACAGTTCCTTGTCCCCGCGGTCGTTGGACGCAGCACGTATCGGTACGCATACGGACAGACACCGTCGGTCAGAGATCAGCGTGCGCGCGACGACGTCCACGGCAATAACGGCGACGACAACGACAACAACAACAACAACAACGGCGAAACAACCGGTCGCCGTTCGCGGCGGCTGGAACGCGCGCCATTTAGGGGCGCGTGCGACAAATCCGTCGTGAGACGCTGGGATTATCTCAAATCAGGCGGCACGCCCGGAATCCCGGATCGATTTGTAACGCCATAAAGGCGACGCGGTGAAATCGTCGTCGTCCGTGATCGTGAAAAGAAGCGGAGAGCGCCTGGTTAAGACAGCTGTCGAAAACTCGCCGTCGTCGAATTCAAATCGCTCGGTCCGAGCGACTCGAATCTCTCTGCAGATCGTGTAATAACGTGGTGCCGAAATTACACGATAATTACGATTATTACGAGCGCGAGACCGGAAGAGAGTCCGCTTGATGGCGGTTTAAACGGAGAGAGAGTGATTCGCGCGGTGGGAATATCTGGCCCGAGCGCGCCGTTCTCTCGGCGCGATGATGAACGTCATCGTGGCGCGCGCGACGTTCGATAACTCGATCGATCGCGCGACGATAATTTCCCCCGGGGGAGAGATGGTCCCGCGCGCGCGTGAGGAGATTCTCAATCGGGAAGCTCCTGTCGTCCCAAATGCGGAGAGCGCGATCGGCACCGAGCGCCGCGGTCAGCTTTACTTGCGGCACTTGATGCCTTAGGAATTTGATCCCCCACTATTCGACGATTACTTTGAGATTCAAATTATCGTGCATTTACACACGTACCACTACCATATTGAAGCTTATCTATTATTCATTAGTAGCGACTCGCATAAGCTATTTCTTTCCAAACGTATCACATATTTTCGTTTGCTGAAATAAGTTAGCCGATAAAATTAACAACCGGATATTTCCGATCGAAATACGGATGAATTTAAGAAGTATCGGTTCATAATTTTTTGATCGGTTTATCTGGTGAAGTGCCATTATGATCGGAATTTAATCGGAAATATCCGTTTGTTAATATTTTTATCGAATCTTTTCTTTCAATGCACCTAAAGGGATTCTTTTAACTTCAAGATGAAATAAATGCATTTATCTATATATACAGAGAGAGAATATTACAGTTTTTTCTTTTATAAAAATTATTTTTAAAGTTTTACTATGTTTCTAGTAATACAGAAATAGACCGTTAGTTAGTGAGGTCTATCTTGCTAACGCCTGTTTCTACTAGGAACATAGTAAATTATTTAATAGCCCGTCTTATAGTCCCTGAAATATAATTAGCACATATGAACTGAAAGGACAGT